TCCTAAAAATTAAACGTCTACCTTGACATGCTACTTGTGATGACTTACTGCTACCAAACGTATGAAGGTGACTCTGGTGCAAATATCTCTGGCAATGGTCGTGATCGATTTAAAAAGTCACTGATTCGTTCCAGTAGACGCTGCCACACACTGTTGATAACCCCAGGTGAGTTGTCGTCTCGCAGGTGCTCCATCAACCTAATTTTGCTCATATGCCAATGATCATTTAAAAGCGTGTCTAGATCTTCAGCCAGTGCCGCGTGGAAGTCTACGGCATCTAGCAGTAGTAATATATCTCTGACGGATCCCATCAAGGTAATAGCGTTGGTAGCAACGTGGGGTCTCTTCTTGACTGTAATATCATTCCACAAGTGGACTCCACCAAGTATACTGTAAGCAGACATTATCAGATGCCTAATTTCGGCTAGCTTCGTCCTCCAAGCTATGAACTCTGTCACAGCTAGGTTTATAGATCTGACCTTTGACTTAGATTCTGGATCTCTGAATACCTTACTGGCAGCTCGAGCAGATCCAGAGGACATTGTTGTGATTGCGCGATACTCCGAGGCCAAGTGTACAATGTGCGATAGTCGACCTCTGAGTCGAGGTAGACTTAATCCGTCGTCGACTTCTGGCTCAAAGTTTGGACATGTTCCTGGGGTTTGCAGGTACATGTTGAAGTCTGTAGTTTCGGGTTTATAACACGCGTTCCTAAGAAGTTTGTGCATCAGGATGGGCTTGGTATTAGTGGGCCATCAATCGTTACTGTCGAAATCTTGGTGTCACATATCACTTCAATACAGAATTCGTGCATTGTAAAATCGAGTGTGATGGTCCCTCAACGGGTACTATAGGGGTGACGTGATATAAGTGATAATGCAGCTCCTTGAGGGATTTTGTCAAATCAAAGTGGACGAAGTGCAGTGATCTAGTTTTCGGCTTATACTCTGAACACACATTCAAACTTGGTTCTGGTCATCTTGCGAGGATCAAAAACTAGTAATGGCATCTATATTGACATTTTAAAGTCCACATCTCGTCCATTCAGATCATGTGATATTGATTACGAGATTACTTCTTTCGCCCACCACTCTTTCGTCGATGCTTTGATGGTGCAGGTGCTTTCTTAGATCTCTTGTACTTGTCTTTTTTCTTCCTCTTCACTTTGATGAACTTTGATTCAGATTCTGACTCTGAATCTTCGTCTGATGTCGAATTACCACTCGACGACGACCCACTGGCATCAGACTCACTAGTACCAGATGACGACCCGGAAGATGATGATGCTTGTCGTGAGCGCTTTCCCACCAGGTTACTTTCAGTACTAGGTCGCTTACCAACCAAGTTAGTATTTCTACTCGAGCTTGCTGGAGTTTCTCCAACCGCTGCCCTGGGCCTGACCCCAGTACTTGGCGCGACCCGACCCACCTTTGTGGTACTGCTACTGGCGCTACCTCCTACAGCACGCTCCTTACTCCCAACCCGTTGAAGGCACCGGGAGGCTGCTTTCACACCATCCTGTGTTTTACTCCTCGCAATAGCGAGCCTCATGCACTCCCCCGGAGGACGTACAGGAGCCGAAGACGACACGCAGTGCGAAGATGACACGGGTGCTGGTACCGGGATGGTACTTGACGCAGAAGCACTCATCTGCTGCATCATCCCAAAAAACTGCATCATTAGAGCCGTAGCATCCCCAGGAGTATTTGGTGCTGTTGCACTCAACACTGGAGGAACTACCCCAGGAGTATTCGACACTGCTGCACCCAGCACTGGAGGCACTACCCCAGAAGTACTTGCAGTTGTTGCTGTGCCCACCGCTGGCGGTGCTATCCCAGAAGTGTTTGAGGTTGATCCCAATACTGGATGGACTGCTTGTGAAGTGTTTGTTGTTGACAACAAACTGGCGCTACTTGCACTCTGAGGTGCTGCCTCTACACTTCGGCGTTTAATGATGGGGCACCCATCACCACGAGGAGTTACAGCACCCGCTTTGGATATTGTTCCAACACTTCTAATACCCTCCCTAGTAGTACTGTTCTTATTACTTCCTTGGATGTGATCTTTTTCGGCTTCTCTCCTGGGTGTTGATCTCACTCTACACCCGTACAAAGAATCACTCAACTTTTCATCCTCGTAGTTGGTGTCTCGATGTACTTTGGAGCTGACCCCTTCCCTGGTCCTTAGATCAACATCCCTAGGCCTGATATACCCCCCAGAGGCATTTTCAAAGCGATCCTTCTGCCCCCACGACCCTTGAGGTGGGACTCCACCACTGCTACGGGCTGCATCCCATACGTGGTCGTCAGCGAACCTGCTACAACCACTTGTGCTTGAGGATGCATTCTTGGAGAACA